CAGTTCTCTCTCCATTTTGGCCTGCAGTTTCTTAGGGACATGCTTGCCAGCCAAGCTGGAGTTGGAAGGGAAATCTCGAACAGATGGGAGTGCACGTGTAGGAGGAGAAAATAGCTGCTCCATCATCCTATTACTGAGGCCCCCCCCACCCCCCCACCTCCCCCTGCCAAACCCAAACTTGGGCTGCCTAACCACAAAGGTATGTAGGCTGGTGCTCAGTTTTTAAAACAAAGGGTTTCCTCCTCCATGGATGGGGCTGGGTGCTCTCCCTGGCCAAAGGAATGCAGTCCTGTTTTTCCCAGGGGTGAGGAGGTAAGTGGAGAGGAACTAGAAGCTGCTCCCTGCGGCTCAGTATTCACAGTGTGCTGTTCTGGGCTGTTAAAGGAACATCATTATGATCCCAACAGCAGGCTGAAAGGTAGAGGAATGATGCCATTAGCCAATGAGCAAACCAGTAAATGGGGCACCTCGAACATTTCCATCAGGGCCAGCAAGAGCTTGGAGACAATGTCAGGTGAGCGGGGCTTAGGGTAGGCTATGCTGGAAGGTTCTGAGAGCAGGAGGTCTTAGAGGCTGAGTAGGATAGTGGGAAATCGATTAGCACACAGAACACTAAGCCAGACCTCAGAGAGGTACTTGCCAGGCCCTCGGTGCTGGCATAGTACCAGATGAAGCGGTCCCCGTCAGCATCCGGTACAAAGTGTTAGCGGGGTGCAGGGAGCACTGCTTAATGGGCGTTTCCTGCTTCCCCTTATCTGTGCTGAGGGGATGGGGAAGGTATGAGGGGAGAGGAGGGAACAACACCCCTGGCTTAAACTCCATTCCCTTTAATTACCTCCCTACACTCCCAGGTTCTTTTACGACTGAGCTTTTCCTGAATCAACTGCAGTTGCCCATAACCCTACAGCTGTGGCTCGGGAGGTAGTCCTTTCTTCACCACTCACTTAGATCCGCAGATGCTCACAGGCAAATTCTTTGAGACTGAGAGGCCTGACTTGCAGACCACAGTAGGCCTGTGGGAGAAACGCAGGACTGAGGCGGGAGACCCTGCCTTGTAATACGCAGAACATCTCAGGCCAGTCACTTGGGGTGGGGTGGAGCGGGGACCCTGGTTCCCTCATCTGTCAAAAACAAAGGGGGTAAGAAGATTCCCAGATCCCACCTACCACCTAGACTGGGAGCTGAGGGGCTTCTTCTTAGGAACAAGAGGGAAACCCCAGCGTCTGGGGAGAGGAAGGACTGGGACATGTTTCTATGGGGGCAGGAGTCCTTTTCTCCTAATCCTGTCCCCTCAACCCTCAGCTTTTCAGTATAGGCCTCCTCTAGAATCCACTTATTTTTTAAAAGATTTTATTGGGGAATTAGGGGAGGGGAACAGACAAGTTGCTGTCCTTTTGTTCTTCAGTCTAGTTGTGGAGGACATCGCTTCACTGGCCCATGTTGGTATTATCATTGCGCTCTTCCCGCGTGAGGCAGTCACTCACCGGCCATTGGACGGCCGCTCACAGCAGCTCACGAAAGTGCACTCCAGCTGCCAGCCAGCTCTGCTGCAGCCTACGCCGTGGCCGGTGACTCACGGCAGCCCAGCTCCAGGTAGAGCTGTTGTTCACCATCTTAGCTTTAGAGGGCGCAGTGTCACTGGCCCTCATATGTGGGATCCAAACCAGGGCTCTGGTGCTCAGAGATCGCATCCCAAGCCAACTCCTAACCAACGTGCCACTAGGCCAGCCCCTAGAATCCACTTTTAAGGTCTTTAATTCAACCCTATACAGAAATATGGAACATCTCAGCAAACATCATGTGATGTTTCAGACGTGTAATTTCTCACCTTCTTGAAACCTATTTCAGGGGCTGGCTGAGTGGCGCATTGGTTAGGAGTTGGCTTGGGATGCCAGCTCTGAGCAGCAGGGCCCTGGTTCGGATCCCACATGAGGGCCAGTGACGCTGCGCCCTCTACAGCTAAAATGGTGAACAACAGCTCTACCTGGAGCTGGGCTGCTGAGTCGCTGGCGATGGCATAGGCTGCGGTGGGGCTGGCCAGCAGCTGGCGTGCGCTGCCATGAGCCTCTGTGAGCGGCCATCCAATGGCCAGCGAATGACGCCTCACCCAGGAAAAGCGCAATGATAATACCAACATGGGCCAGTGAAGCAACATCCTCCACAACTAGACATAAGAACAAAAGGTCAGTAACTTGTCTGTTCCCCGTCCCCAATTCCCCAACGCTGTTCCCCTTCCCCAGTAAAATCTTTAAAAAAAACCCAAAACCTATTTGTTTTTGGATTTTGCCTTTAAGAGTAGCATCCAAGAGCCAATTGCTTACACAAATAGAAGACCCGCCTCCCCAGCTGCAGCCCCACTGAGCTCCACCAGTATTATATTGCCAAAACCTCAAGTGTTACTTGAAGCTAAGTTGAAGATCGTTGTATACAAATAATTCCTTAATGATACATTTCAGGACTATCACATGGACTGCTTTGAAGATTGTCCAAATGATTCCATTCCACCCCCTTCTCAATAGGTGCTGGTGAGGGTCAGATTTTCTGTCTATGGCATGTTCCATTTGTCATAGGGGGAGGACAGGTGGAGAGGATTAACAAGGCGGGAGCCTGTTCATTAAGGAATTCCACCACTGACCAGATGGTACTTCCTGTGACAAGTGGAAATTTTTTTCCGGACAGGTGCTCTGGCACACAAAGTAAGCATACCTTAAAAGCACTTAGGAATCATTGTTTTCTCTTAGAAAAGCAGGACAACGCCCAAGAGCAAGGAATTCAGTTTTCTAGTTTTAGGTGCTTGGGGTTTTTTCTTCCTACAAAGCTCAAAACAGGAGAACATTTTAGAGAATGAGCCCGTTCCTTTTAGAGAAGGTCCATTTCTCTTTCTCACTTTTCCATAATATAAAACAAACTAAGGGTAAGGGACACCACCATTTCAGAGCATCCAGCCTGGTCTCTGAAATCTCTGATGCCTACAGTAACAACTGCTAAAAAGGAAATAAGCAATTACTGGGTAAAGGATCATCTACCTGACAGGAACCCAATGGGTATGTACAGGTCAGGAGTACCTCAGATTCCGACAATACCAAACAGCTGAGTGTTTAGCAAATTTATATTGAACCTTGTGCTTGAATTGTAAAATATACACCAGACAAAATTTATAGAACAGCAGCACAGAGGGTCTGTCCAAACATGTTGCCACTTATTTTCTCAGTACGAGTTGAGATTTAAAAAGCACTGGCTAATATAAGTGACAAGCTATTATTGCCTTTCCTTTCATCCTTGCTCCTGGGGGGTACAGTCTAAGAAGCTTAGGTTCACAAAAGGGATCTAAGGAACATTGTGTCTCCCACACCTACCCACACGTATCCAACCTTCACCCCAGATTCTAGGAACAATTTCTGGAGAAGTTAAGAACAAGCATCAATTTTGCACTATCAATTCTGGTTTCGCATGCCTCTTTAAGGGCAAATGCCCCAGGACAGCTCAGCTTCTTCCTTAAGCAGTACTAGCTCTGGAGAGGCAGAAGAGGCCCAGAGGTCAACCACACAAATGGGGAGGAATGCAAGGCAATGCCTGTCTGAGCCATCATCCCCCTCTGCAAAAACAGCAGCAGTGATATTTCAGGCTCTCCACATGTCAGCCTCCTGACATGCACTATATGTAGCTGCAAATCCCAATCAATCTCAACATTTCTTAACTGCTGGAACGCCTTTCTCAACACTGTAATTTACCCTCAAAAGAATAGGGAGCATGCACCCTCGCCTCTTAGTACCAAATTCAACTAACTGCCGCCCCCTCCCATACCCCACTAACCTACCTACACAGAGGAGGAAGAAACCCTCCTTCAAAGCCCGCAACATACGGCCACAGTACATATGCCACTGACAAGAACTTTTATTTCTTTTTAATGACATTAAACACAACTGCTACAGGGAAAAAACATGATAGAGAGGAGGCACCAATCTTCAGTTTCATAATTGATCCTGACAACTCAAGTAAATTAGGGCCTGCATTATGTGCAAAACTACACGTTACTTCAGGCTCTTTACATACAAGTAAACTATATAAATAGCAATTTTTACTCTGCTTTGTAAAGACCCCTGTGGTGAGAATGTCGTCACAGATGAAGAAAGCTAGGTAGGCAGTTAAATGCATGTAACATAAAATACAGTAAGAATTCCACGTGGAATATTAGAGGCCAACCCCAAATATGATATGCAGCTTTAAAAACAGGTTAAAACTCCAGATTTTACCCACTACCATCTTTAAGGCGCACATGCCTGATAATGAGTTTTCTTTGGCTTTGTTTTTTCCCTTAAAGAATACCATGTTAATCACTAGAGAACAGTTCTTTCCTCCCCCAGTCCAACAGATTTAATTAAGCTGCTAAAGCTTTGGAAAAACAGAATTATTTGAGCAAAGAGGAAATGTGATTGTCACATTTTATAGTTAACTCGTCACTCATGTGATTTGGCAAAGACGATGCTCCCATTACATGCTGAAACTTAAATCCTCCTGTACCAGTAGGGCAGGAACATGAGTTAAAGATTTTTGCCTGAGCAAAACGCAGTCCCTTCACTCCTTGGGTTATCTATGGGGAACTAGACAGCTGCGATGCTGGCTATTCCAGCCACAATGAACTTTATCTATGCTATGGTTCCAAAGGCAGATGTTTACTTGTCTCACTCCATCAAGTTAATTTAGAGAAACAAGGAAAAGTGACTGATGTACTAAATGATAACTGAAATAACAGATTTGACTCTTGTCCTTAAACAGAACTCGGTAGCATCTTGGTCCCAGAATTAAACCAATGTTTAAAACCAAATAAAAGTCCATGGAGAAGAGAATCCTTGACTGGATAATAACAGTAAATACTTAGGGACATCCATCTAAATTTATGGGTGGCGGGCCGGCCGAGTGGCTCAGTTGGTTAAGAGCTTGCTCAAGAGTTTGAGCTCTGAGCAACAGTGGTTCGATTCCCGGCCCGAGCTGAGCAGCAGCTGAGCTGCCAACCGGTGGCAGGATGGCTCAGCTTAAAACAAACAACCAAAAAAAACCCCAAACAAAATAAATTTATGGGTGGCTTGACTGACCAAGCTTTTCCCAAGTCAGTTTCTAAAGCAGGGTGGGATATTGAAGATGGGTTACTCACATACAAAAATGGGGCTGATGAAACAAACCAGACAGAGGCAGCTAGCCTAACATCACAGGCTGCGCTACAGCAACTATGTACATACAACCTTCACAGAGAGTGAACAGCAATAGCACGGGTGCTGGACTACAAAATCTCCGAAAAGATGTCTAGAGCTGTCTGTGAAGAAAGAATAATGAAATCCTAAGACATCCATTAAGATGGATGCACAGTCTGCCAACTCGGGTTGACACCAAACCTGAAGCTCAGGTAATGCTTTTGTGCACAGGATTAATCACAACTATATCAGACCCACTTTAGTGGTTTTGTGAAACTGTGCATCAGAGGTCTGACCAAATGAGACAGTAGCATCTAGGGTCGGAAGGCACCTCTTGCTGACTAACGGAGACAACTGAGTGCCTCTCCAAAGTCTCTCCCACAGGATGGAGGCTCACTGACTAACACATCACCTCATACTAGAAGTTCCGGTTCAGCACATGAAACTGAAGAGCAACGATACCTCCATACCCTTGGCTTCCTGCCTGTCCTGGAGTCGAGACCCTGGGTGGGCAGCTCTTCAATAAAGACAGTAAGGAGACTGTTCTTAAGAGGCATATCTATGTCTAATAGGCAGAGCCCTAGAGTGCACAGTGGTCACTGGGGGCAAAAAGGAAAATCCCTGGACAAAGGCAGAGAAGACGATCAGTCACAAGACCACAAGTCAACAGCGGTCACTCAGCAGTCTGTCAGAATTAAGATGTATAAGATTTGTAAATACTATTGTGCAAAGTAAATTTGATGAAGAATGAAATAAAAGCCAAAAAATAAAGGCAGCTAGTAGGTACTAGAAGGAGAGATTTACGATTTCAATTTGTCCTCTGAATAGGATTTTTGTCCTGCTCTATCCTACTTCAAATGTCTTAGATTACCAACTTTAAAATACTGACAGGTATTCAGAGATTCAAATAAAAAAGTAAGAGGGTTGTTAAAAGTGACTTGTATCCATTTATAAGTCATGAGCAATAATTAACACTGGCTTGCAGCCTGAAAAGAATCTCTTCTGTACAGGAGATTAAAAGATGATTTCTTTTGGGCACCAGGAGACTTCACCTCTACATAAAGGTGGGTGTTTTGCTTGAGCTTTGTGTTTTGGTTAATGCTGGGCTTCAGGAGGCGGCCACCTTCAATTTAAAGAAAAAAAATAAAAACTGTATCAACTTAACACTGCTTAAACACATACACACACACGCGCGCGCACACACACACACACACGAAGGACTTCATACAAAAAATTCAAGTTGGCAATGGGCATTTCCAAAAGGTGACAAGTTCTTTAAATAAAAATCTTATGAAAAATAAAATTCAAAATCTGCAAAGCATAAAAGAGCAGAAAAAGATGAGATGCTGCTCTGGACCGGACCCTGGATAGGGACCTTCACTGCTGATGGGATGAAACGAATGGACTGTACTGGATATCGGGGAGACACTGGAACCGTTGGTGGCTTCGCTTGTTCTTGTCAACCCACTGAGTCAGACTGTATCTTTCCAGAGGTTTCTGTCGGAACCGGGCGTAGTTTCTATCAGGAGAGAGGGAAAGTAAAAACAGAAAAGATAAGGGTTTCAGCTGATATGACTATTATTTTACAACTATTTTAAGAATATCATTATTTTAAGATATAGGATAGTAATTTTATATTTCAATTCTTAAAATTTTGTACTATTTTATTTACATGAAAGTCACATTATAAGTGCTATTTCCTTCCAACTTCCAAAGCCACTTAATTTCCATACAGGTATTATGGTGATATGTGCCATATACACAAATGTTCCATGAAAACCTAATGTATAATATATAATAATACGTAAGTAGGAAAATAATATTTTCTCCCTCTAGAAACATTTAGAACAGGATCTATATTTCATTGCTTACATCAGACCTGTATCTCCAACAGGACCTCAATGTCTGACACAGCTCAAGGTTGCTCAGGACACAGCAGTTAAAATTAGAATAAAATTCCCAGAGAAGGTAAGTCATCATGTGAGTATCACATTGCAAGTTTAGAGACAGAAAAATTAATAGACTCAATTTCTTCAGAGTCTCCTTAGTCATGTGCTGGCCTGGGGTTCTGAACAGGACCCATTGAGATAATTTGAGCCCATTCTCAACCCCAGCTCTTCCTAATAACCACCTGGGAAGCTTTTTAAAGCTATAGATTCTTGGCCCCTCCTGTCCCCCCAGATTTAATGAGTTAGAATCCCTGGAGTCAGAGCCTAGACATCTGTATTTTTAGATATCGCCACAGGTGATTATGAGGAACAGCCAGGGTTGAAAATAATTGTAACAGTACCTGACATTTAACTAGCCCTATACAAAAGCACTTGAATTCTTTAAACAATTCTTTAAATCTCATCAATGCTAATGACAATCCTGAGAAAAGCACTCTCATTAACTCTTTGTACATGTAAGGAAACAGCCTCAGGTTAAATAACTTGCCTAAGGTCATACAGTGGAGTAAGTAGAAGAGCCTAGGTTTGAATTCATATCCGACTCTAGAATTTATCTAATAACCATTACACTATTTACTGTCCTTCTGAGAACTGCTGTCATTTTGGTAACTACACAGGAAACAATGAATGTAAAGAATCTGAGACTGAGCATGTCTGACATACTTGAAAAACAGCAAGGAAGCCAGTGTGACTAGAGCAGAGTGAGCAAAGCACGGAGTAGGAGGTGAGGTTGGTGAGCTAACCATGTCAGGCTTGCCATGCTCCTTGTAGGGGATCATGAAGATGGGAAGATGTGAGATGGGAAGCCACTGGAACATTTTGAGCAAAAAAGAGACTCTGACTTCTGCTTTAAAAGACTCTCTTTGGGGCCGGCCGAGTGGCTCAGTTGGTTAAGAGCTCACTCAAGGGTACGAGCTCTGAGCAACAGCGGTTCGAGTCCCGGCCCGAGCTGAGCAGCCGCTGAGCTGCCAACAGGTGGCAGGATGGCTCAGCTAAAAAAAAAAAA